AAGGGGAAAATTATTGGGGTCGTTCTAGGATCACCAAAGAGCTCCCAGGACTGTAGGGACTGATGGAGTAGGAGTTAGAGTTTACAGAACTCAGTAAGAGTAATGGGTTAGGGCCCAGGTTCAGGATTAAGCCAGTCTTGAGAATTCTATCAGCCAGGGATGAATCAGAACTACAGATCAGCTGTGCCCAGGCACAGCCTTCTATCCATGACCTTATGCTTTTCCATTTCTACAAATTTCATGAATGCCCTTATTCGAGTCTTTAGCTGGCGACTCCTAATTCTATCTCTAGAACTGGCCCCATTCAAAAATTCCAGGCCCTTGTCCCAGTTGCCTATTGTGGGTTTTTATTTGATTGTGCCATGGGTATCTCAAACTGTGTCTGAAACTACACTTAGCAAATTCTTCCTTAATAAAAGGTGAAGGAGGGAGAGGAGGGGGGAAGAAGGAGGGGGGAAGAAGGAGGGGAGGAGGAGGAACAGGAGGAGGAGGAGGAGAAAAAGAGAGAGAGAGAGAGAGAGAGAGAGAGAGAGAGAGAGAGAACTAGCACACAAAATTGTCCCTATTTCTATTATTTTTTCTTATTATAGTGAATAGTACCATTCTCCATCTAGTTGCTCATATAAGAAATTATAGGCAGTTCTCTTCTCACTCAAAAAGTGCCCTAAATTCTATCTCTTTCATAATTCCTCTCAAATATATTTTCTCTGCTTCCGCCCTGTTTTCTTTTCTATTGTATCTTCAGTGCTTCAAATGTTTCCTAGCACAAAGTAGGAATTCAGCAAATATTTAGTGAGTTAAAGAACAAAGAAAATAAACAAAGCCATTAGCCCTGTAGGAAACAGTTAATTTAGGAAACAGATACAACCTTTAAAAATAAATACATTTTGGAAAACATTCAAGAGAAACTTTTATCCATTAAGCAGGACAGGCTGCTACGAAAAACAAAAAAAAAAATCTGAGGGAAAAAATAATTTATTGAAGGTAACAAATTTTTTAAAATAGCAATGGGCAGGGTGAATAATAAAATTGACACAGCTGAAGATCTAATTAATTAAAATGGGAAAAAGTCTCAGAAATAATGTAAAATAGCAGACATAAACTATGAGGAAAGTTAAACAGTGGTTGCTACAAGAAAATAAAACAAAGTATTCAAAAGGAAAAAAAATGTTTGAACCCTGATTCTTATATTCAGCTAAAAACTTAAGTATGAAAAGAAAAAAAGATATGCAGGATGATTTGGACACAATAAAAGGGAGAAACTAGGTATGACTCAGAAGTCAGGGAAGCTAGAAAAAAATAAAAGTTGAAACATTAAACTAACACTTGGAAGAGACTTTTTTCAGCGGCAAAGTTTAGTAACAGGTTTACACTTCCTTTTCTATGGATAGTTTCAATTACTTAGGCCTGTAATAAGTGGTATTTGCATAAACACACTGTTAATATTATTTACTAGATTTCAGTTTTTAAGAGTCAATGTGTAGATAAAGCATGGAGGATTTACTTATAGTTAGAGAACAATCTTATAGACATTGACAATATAAAAATAACATTCCTTCTAAAAACTTGGAAATTAGGTGAGTGAATATGTTGGAAAACATAAAAGTCTAAATAAATTTCCATTTTCACAGGGTGGAGTTAATATATCAAGTATACAATTTTATATATATCAAAATCATTATAAAAGCAACAACAAGCAGGTGGGGGAGAAGGTGGAAGGTAATATGAATGCTCTAAAATCTTCATCTTTATTTGTGGGGAGCCCAAATCAATAAAGGCTATTATCCTATATAATAAAAGGGTAATATGCAAATTGACCCTAACAGCAGAACGACTGGGAATGACTGGTCACTATGACACACACTGATCACCAGGGGGCAGACACTCAATGCAGGAGCTGTCCCCTGGTGGTCAGTGCATTCCCACAGGGGGAGCTCTGCTCAGCCACAAGCCAGGCTGATGGCTGCCAGTACAGCGGTGGTGGTGGTAGCCTCTCCCGCCTCCTCAGCAGCGCTAAGAATGTCTGACTGCAGCTTAGGCCTGCTCCCCGCTGACAAGTGGACAACCCCCGAGGTCTCCCGGGCTGCCAGAGGGATGTCTGACTGCCAGCTTAGGCCCAATCTTCCGGGGAGCAGCCAGCAGGTGGTCATCCCCCGAGGGGTCCCAGACTGCGAGAAGGCACAGGCCGGGCTGATGGACCCCCCCCACACCCAAGTGCACAAATTTTTGTGCACCGGGCCTCTAGTCCTATATAATAAAAGCCTAATATGTTAAGTGTCTGACTGTTTGTTTGACTGTTCGACCAGTTACTATGATGCGCACTGACCACCAGGGGGCAGACACTCCAACCAGTAGGTTAGCTTGCTGCTGGGGTCCAGTCAATTGGGACTGGGTGAGATGAGCCTGACATGCCCTGGAGCCCTCCCATGGTTCCTCCCTGGCCCCGATCGTTCATCAGTGGGGTCCCTCAGCCTGGCTTGCACCCTCTTGCAATCCGGGACCCTTCAGGGGATGTCAGAGAGCTGGCTTTGGCCCGATCACTGCAGGTCAGGCCAAGGGATCCCACTGGTGCATGAATTCGTGCACCGGGCCTCTAGTTTATTTATAATGATGACGATGAGAAAAACTAAAAAACAAGAAAACAACATACCTTAGCTTCTGGGAAGTAAGAGTTATATGTTCATGTATACTATTCTATTTGCAGTTTTTTTTTTAAATATGTGCATACATTATCATTTAAAAATCTAAGGTAATATGAATGAAGAAGTCAATAGCTTAGTGTATGTGAAGTGTCTGACACAGAGTAGGCACCCAATTATAGTTTTTATGGCTGCAATTAAAAATTTTATTTTTATATGTGGTAGCTGATGTCAGCTGTGTTCTCTCTGTCCCTTCAGATACAAAGAAATTCAGGTCAAACCAATTTTGTGCTTTGCGGTAGCCTAGAGTGTGTCCTCTGGTGTCTGCAGATGCCATGGTATCGTGGTGGTTGTCGCTGTGAATGGGCTCCTCCCACCGAACTAAAGCACATTCTGAGTCTCATTGTGCCCCACTTGCCATCCCAGTTCACACTTTGTTTAATTAGATGCTGAATTCAATCCAGTCCTGTGATTTCTACTAAAAGCATCCACTCACATGACAACTTTGCATTTGTAAGTTTGAGGAGGTTGAAGAAGGTTAACTGACAGGGACAGTTTATATCACGAAGATGCTATTTCAAATTAAATATTGCACATCACCCCTGGCAAATGGTCAGCTGCAGCTTCACCACATATTCACATCTCTAGCTCTGTGGTCTTGCTTAGCCATTTTCTCCTCCTCTAGCTCTCTTCTCAGCTCCCACCTCTGATTGCTTGAGGGAGCTTGAGGTCCCTTTTATTTTATTCTGTAAGACTCTCTGACTCCTACTCCCATACCTGACTCCAGATGCCACTTGGCCGAGCCTACCCTATGGAGATGGGCAACAGATCAAGGGACTTTTGGGTCACAGAATCCACTAGAGAAGTTAGTGGTGGCAATAAGGGGCACTTTTTCTGTCTATTGTTTTGGAATACAGCAATAACTAACCAAGCAGATTGTTATATGCAGTATATTTTCTCACTGCCATCTACTCTTCTCATCATCAGAGAGAGTAACAAAAATTCACCCTGAGTATCATCTAAAATAAAAGATTGTTTTAAAGCTTGTGTCTTCACAAGTAATAACTGCCCATTTCATTTTTAAAAGATATAATGGTAAAATTTGATCACTATATAATGACAGAGTAATGTATTTTTTAAAAAACTATAGTGGGAAAGTTGGTCTTAATGGACCATAGTTGCCCAATTGCAAATATATATATATATATATATATATATATATATATATATATATATATATA